TCAGAATCCTCAAATAATCTGAATGTATTTTTTTTTCGTTCGTTCATTTAACACGGTAAATATCTAACAATAAAAAAATATTTAATATTTATTAAGATATTTCGTTGAAATTTATTACATTTATAATCTCTTTACTAAAAAAAAAATAATTATAAAGAAAGATAATTATAGAAATATTAATATAATTAATCAATGTGTAATTTCGGATATTATTATGGCCATACGAAAATATGGCTATAGATTGTTTCTTCAATTTTTAAGTAGAGCATTTTTGTAGTCATTCTAAAAGTCTATGGCTATCTTTTCCGCTTGGGGATAGCTAAAATAACTCAATCTAATGTCTCAATTTTAAAATAATTCTTAATAGTATTCATCATACACGTATCAAGTTATATCCCAAAACGTTCCATCTTATTATTCTCAGAACATTGTCAAGTTTCTCTTGTTAACTTTCCTTTTGTCTGACGATAGACGCACAATGTGCTAAATCCGTTCATTGAGGCCAATTTGTACGTTTATATTCAATAAAAGATATGTTATAACGTTTCGTAAAGAATGTATTTGATAAGAAACGCTACTGAGTCTGTTGATAAACAAAATTTAACACTCTACGCTCTTTTTAAATGCTATATTATTTGCAAAAGAATAATAGCTAATTGTACAATATATGAATGATGTTCTCATGGCATTGCCTTGACATTGGAGCTTCATCAAACATATTCTTTGAGTGTACATAGAACGAGAAAATATGCGCGTACGTAAATCGATAAAAAGTGAAGTGCACTGTAATATAGAGGTAAAAAAATATAAAAAAATAATTGGCGTGTTTAATTCCTCCTATGCTTGCATATTGTATGTGTGTCGGCACCATATATATGTATACACAGCTACAATTGCGGAGAATTAGAAAGTAACGTGCTATTCGGAAAGCCTCGTGAACCTCATTTACATGACTACGTAGTAGTATTACCTGTCTCTTCCTTCGTTATTTAAATTTAAATGTAGGTTATCTGATTGATCACATAATATAATTCTTTAAAAGAGCGAGGCATATATAGAGTGAGTCGTTTGAAAGAAATTTTTTTATTTTTACCAATTAAACCGTGTTTTAACATTCTTATGCCGCGTAATAATAAAAACGATGTTTAAAATATTTAGTTGTTTCAAAAATTACCAACTTACTACAACAACAGAGTATCATAAATAAAGCAATATGGTGGTGGAGTGAATATGTGAAAATTTAGTGATCAAAACCACAGAATATACTTATAATTTAATAATTATGTATTCTATTCTCCGATTTTCAGCGTCCTTCTAGCGAAAAGTATACGAAAATAATGTAAGAGAATTCAGATAAGGAAAAAAAGAATGGCAGAACAATGCCAGCAATGTACATTGTCACATAAACATGTACAATTCGCGGCAAGAAGTGCACCGTCAATATTGAATTACTCAGCCCTACAACATCAGTGTGGTTCATCTCACAGCACACGAACGATGCGACTAGCTTTTCCTTTTCGTTTCTTTTCTTTTTTGTATATATGGTTGCCGATTGTTACATCGAGTCTGCATACGCAGGAACGATATCAAAGAATTACACAGTGCGATACAAATCAAGCTGAAATTATCTCTGATTAATAATTTCTCTTACGACATTTGTACCATTTTAATTTTATTGTCGTAAAAGTAATAAATTTTATTACACTTTAAAAATACTGCAGACAGAAAAAAGGAACGAAGAAGGGAAGGAAAGGGAGGAAGGAAAGAGAGGGAAGAAGGAAAGAGAGAGAGAGAGAGAATATTGTGAGGAAATGAGCGAATGAATGAGTAAATAAGTTTTCATTGCATTAATTATCAATAATAGATTTTTTTAATTAGAAAATTAGTTTTTCCTCAGTAAAAATTAAAAAATTTAATATCGAAGATTTTATATGTACTTCGAAACGTGTAAATATATAAATCGTCGAGAAAAAAGGAATGATTGCCGTTCTTACAAATTTTTACCTCCTTCTTGAAAGTTAATTGCTATATTTAAAAATATATATACATGATCATTAAAAAAATTGGTGATGGTATCTCCATATTGCACATATTTAACATAACTGTCGGCAGAAGTATATGCATCCAACAGACTGGAGATAGGAATCAAGATAG